CCACTCTGACAAAAGAGCGTTGGTTAAGGGTAAGTTCCAGGACGACCGGAGCGCCTCTACTCCCTACCGTTGATGTTTGTGTGTTGGATGTCGATGGCCTTCGTGGCCAGTTCGTCAGCCGTGGACAGAGCGCTGTGGACGGGGGAGAAGACCTCCAGGACACCTTTGGTGAGGCTGGGCTCAAACATCATGCTGCGGCTCCGCACACTTACGTTCTCACAGCCTGGGTACAGGTTGGAAATACTCACTGACACTGGAGCATGGAAGGAGAAAACAGAGGTAAAAATATATTTTTAATGTAGGGTTTCAAAAATGTCCTCATATACATATATATATATATACATATATATACACACACATATATATATATATACATATATATATACACACACATATATAATATATATATATACACACAAATACATATATAAATATATAGGTTATATAAGTATATATATAGTGTATATATTTCCTAATATATGTATGTACACACCAATATATATAAATATACTGTATACTGTATAACTTATATGAATTTAGTGTATCTTTTTCTTTTTCTTTCAGCTTTGTCACTTTTTTTTTTCAGGGGTTGCCACAGTGAATCATTGATTTCCATCTCTCTCTGTTCTCTGCATCTTCTACTCTGACTCCAACTATCTGCATGTCCTCCCTCACTGCATCCATATATCTCCTCTTTGGTCTTCCTCTCTTTCTCCTACCTGGTAGCTCCATCTCTAACATTCTTCTACCAATGTATCCACTGTCCCTCCTCTGCACATGTCCAAACCATCTCAATCTGGCTTCTCTAGCTTTTTCTCCAAACCTTCCTGTCTGTGTTGTCCCTCTAATGACCTCATTCCTGATCCTGTCCATTCTTGTCACTCCTAAAGAGAATCTTAGCATCTTTAACTCTGCCACCTCCAGCTCCGCCTCCTGTCTTCTGCCTATTGCTACCGTCTCTAAACCATACATCATGGCTGGTCTCACCACCGTCCTGTAAACCTTTCCCTTCACCTTAGCTGACACTCTTCTGTCACAGATCACTCCTGACACTTTTCTCCAGCTGTTCCATCCTGCCTGTACTCTATTCTTCACCTCTCTTCCACAGTCTCCTCTGCTCTGAACAGTTGATCCTAAGTACCTAAACTCCTGCACCTCATATGTGCAAATCATGCACATATGAATTTAGTGTATATTGTCTGTATATATTTCGGAAATAGGTATGCACACAAAGTACATATATCAACATATACGTTATATATAATGCATATATTTCTTAATATATATGTATGCAGACACAAATATATATAAATATATATATAATATATAATATATATACTATATAATAGTGTATGTTTTTTAGTGTATGTTTGTACACACAAATGTATATATAAAGGTGCAAATCTGACAGCAGTAATAAAATAAAACAAATAATGGGAATATATGTACAAATATATGTATGTTTATGTCATGTCATACATATATACATTTATATATATACATTTATACACTGTATGTATATATATATTTGTATATATACACATTTACTTTGAATGACTTCTAGTGGCGACGAATATTGTGAATAAAATTTCCGGCCGGCACGGTGAGTTGATTCTGAGTTATTATTTCAACTGATTGTTTTCAGTATTTCTAAATCATTCATGATTGTTTTCCTAGAGCAAACAGCAACATTAATGTTTGATGAATGAGTTAATGTTTTTCGTCAAGACATTTTATTGTGGTGAATGGATTTTTAATAAGTCTTTTTACTGATCTTCCTGCTAAATCGTCCTGCTCTCAACAGAGCAGCATGAACATTAGAAAGACAAATAACTGTGTTGTATATTAGAACATATATACAGTGGCCCTGTATATGTATAGTGGCCATATATTATTTATGGCTGTTTTTAACAAATCTTATTTTTGTTACATTAAAGGCTCTTTTCTTTACAAATCTAAATGTATTTCCACATACTCTCTGCTAACACGTGGGGGCGCTGCTTTACCGAATATAAATCCAATGCAACGTTGAAGTTTTCATAACGCTCTGTAGGACCACACCTACACTTTGTTAATGTCTAGGACCGTTCAGACGTCCTCTACATGTGTAGTTTGTCATTAGTCAACCTTTATTTTTTTTTACCTTTTTTTGGTCGGTGCTGTGGTTGAGGAAACACTGGACACGTGACTGTGAAACGTGTTGACTTAAGTCTTCATCAGTCAGTGTCAGTGAATGTAAACAGACGGGGCTGAAGATAAAAACACCTGCTTGACCTCAAGTGTTTGACTTCAGTTTGAATTTTTACTCTGACAAAAGAACGAGAAAAAGTAGGTTACTGTAAAAACAAACAAAAAAAATCCCACTGTTGTTAAAAATAAACTTAATATCAGCCCAAGACTGTGGAGCGACCAATTTATTTAAAAAAAAATTTAAATCTTTCTTTAGTCAAAAAACACACTCAAAGCTATTACTTTGCACTTGGGCCCCCCTTAAATGGGCACTGAGCTATCGAAGTAGGGGCAGATACATTTTGGCTTTTAAATATTTTATTGAAGTCTTCAAAAGTCTGCAATTCATTAAGTCAGTGGTTCTTCAACTTTTTCTACTCTGTACCACCTGCGAAAACCTGGATCTCTCTGAGTACCACCATGATGACCAACATTAGAATATAGCAGCATAGACCTTCACTATTAGCTTCCACCACAGGAGAGATGTTTAGAAATGTTTAGAAATATGTTTATGTTTAATTGTTGTATTAATTGTACTTGGTATGTTTCACATTTATTCAACTGAAAATGCGTACCAATACAGAGTGCTTGCGTACCACCGGTGGTACGTGTACCACAGTTTGAGAACCACTGCATTAATTCATTAATTGAAAAGAAGTTAGATAATATCGTCCGTTATTAGCGTAATTATGTAATATCGGAAAGAACCGTTATTGGATTTTCCTCCGATAATGAAAACCCAATAACACCACGCCTGATGATTGATGATCGTTTTAAATCATGTTTTGCAACAATAGCTGTGAATGTGTCCACGTGGGGGAGGCGTAGAGGAGGGGGTGGGGGGGGCGCAACCATAATTAAATAAATAAATATATATATCATATATATATATATAAAGTATGTTTTTGAAAGTTCAGTTATTTGTATTGTTCATAAGCTACATGAATATGCAGTACATATTGATGCTAAATTTAATCAAGACCAACATTTCTTTTGTTATGCACTAACACAACAGTGAGCATTCAAACTCCAGGCTGCTGTGGTGGAATAAATTGTTGTAATCCATGCAGAAAAACCTGGGGACTAATCTGGCCGTGGTTTATCACAGCTTCCTCTGAACTTTCTCTGTCACCCACCTGCAGGTTTGGAGTTGACGGGGGAGCTGGGGTGACGGGCCGCGTTGGGAATCCGGGTCCTCCTCCTCCTGAAGAAGCTGCGCAGGATGCCACATTTCAGAGATTCCAGCAGGGTGCTCTTTCCGGCTCCAGAGTGTCCGAAGAGTTTTAGCTTAATCCTGGGCTGAGGGGTCTGTGTGGGTCGCAGCTGCTGGATGTAGTTCACTCTGTGGTTGTCCTAAAGCCCAGCAGGAAGAATCAGAAATGCACAAGAAGTCAGGAATTCTATTAAAAAACCATCCTAAAACAGAACAGCTGCCTGGCTTCAGATTCTGGATTAGTGGGCAGAGACGTTAGCCTGTGGTTAGAGAGAGGTTTCAGAGATTTTTTTTTTCTTTGGGGGCTTTTTTTTCGTCTCACATCATGTTTCCCAGGAGTTTACCAATAATGTCTGTTGACTTGGGTTGTGAAGGTTTGTGACTTTTAAAATATGGGTCCCCAGAAAAAAAGTTTGGTAAACAATGCTGTAAACAGCACATTTTTATCTGTAATAACAAAATGGCTTATTTGTCAAAAAAAAAGAAAAAGATTCACATATAAACCTTTCTTTGGGGAAGGGGTAATAGAGGGGCTAAAAATGTTTGAAAATAAATTTAAGACAAATGCAAGTTTTAAGCGTTAGTTAAATGTATGATAATTAAAAAGTTATTATTATTTATTTATTCATTATTATTATTATTTTTATTATTAATAATCTTTTCAACCATTTACATTGATTTAATCAAGTCTTATATTTTATTTAAATTTACTTATTTTTAGTCTCTTTCATTTAAAGACCTGAAGCTTTTTTATAATTACATTTTTATATATTTTTCCCATTCATGTTAACTGTGTCCATAATTATATTTATCATTTAATCCAAATAAATAAATAACTCTAATTCTAATGAACTAATTCAACAGAATAAAGTAAAGTTTAATAAAGTAAAAAAAAAACCCACTCATCCAACTGATGAGTCATACAGCGACGTCAAACCCTGCGAACATGTCACGTTCCCACCTCAGGTGATTTTAACACATCCCTGAATAAATAACCACTAATCAATGTGAAGCACATCTGCTGGAGGACGAACTTTTAGTAACGTCTATATCCTGCTCTGGCACTAATTTTTTTTCTTTCATTCATGGCTGGCACCGGTGTGTGAAAAGTGTCTTGATTTAGCTCAGCATATGCAGTGGATGAGTGATTTCACAGTTGCTGCTCTAGTGTTTTCACGCTCTGAACTGAATCATAGCAGGTTCTCCACAGAAACAGATGAGAGAGATGTGCTAATGTTCAACTCCGTGGTGGGTTTCAGTGGATGTGGAAATAAATCCCAGGACTGGAGAAGGTCATGTATGTAAGTGAGGGGTCTGGGCTTTGATCACAGCAGTTTAGGTGTGATTACAGTGAACAGCCTCTGTCCTACAGGTTTAATACAGAATGTTCTGGAAGTCAATGTGGATTTAAGTCTCCGAACCCGTGGCTCGTGACCCCGTTTTGACTTCGCAAATGTCTGGCAAACCCGTAGACATTTTCGTAGCTTGTCACTTGTGCAGTCATGTGATCGCAGCTGCCAATCAAGACAAGCCGGCTCAGATGTTTTCATACGCACTATTTGATTTGAATTCCAGTTATATCATGGAAAACATGAAACCCTATGTTGAAAAGCAGTGCTTTGACATCTGGTCACTAAAACTGGAATGTAGGAATCTACATTTGTGAATCACTAGAGAATTAAAAAAAAGTATTTGCGGATTTGATTTTTGGATACTTGCAAATACATGCAGTTCCAGTTCATTTAATTATTGGTTGGAGGATTTAAATGCCACACAAAAATGAACCAATGACATGAATATTTGCATGTTAATTCTTAATTTTAAAAAAAAAATCAATACAATGCTGTAGACCAGTGGTTCTCCAACTGTTTCTACTCTGTATCACCTGAGAAAACCTTGATCTCTTTGAGTACCACCATGATGACCAACATTAGAATATAGCAGCGTAGGCCTTCACTGTTAGCTTCCACCACAGGAGAGATGTTTAGAAATGTTTATGTTTAAATGTTGTATTAATTGTGCATGGTATGTTTCAGATTTATTCAACTGAAAATGTAAATGTGAAAATATAAATTTTCCCCACGTACCACTAGTGAGCACTCACGTACCTGGTGGTACTTACACGTATATTAATACGGTATCGTGAAACAAAATATCACAATCTTTTATTGTATCGATATTGTCTTACAGCCTCCTCTGACTGTCAGGATTCTCGTTCGGAACTCGTTACATAAATGAGTCCGATGATGCTTCTCCACCTGTATGTGTGTGTGTGAGTACGGTGTTGCCACAGAGTCTAAAAACATCCCTGTCTCTCCCTCAGCTCACTGGACTTATGCAATGACTGATGAATGCAGGGTGTGTGTGTGTGTGTGTGTGTGTGAGTTCATACCTTTTTGAGCTTCAGCAACAACGACACAATGTCCTCGTGTTGATCAGCGGACGCCAAATCCTCGGCTGTTTTTCCATCCTGAGGTGGACAAAAGTTTAAAGACGTGTAAGAATGAGGACAATTCAGCAGAAACATCAATGACATTTTAAAAGCCCATCCTAAACACACGGCATTGATGATGTGATACGCAGCCGTTAGCAGATGGCAGATGAGTTTTTGTTGCCAATGGGAACTTATCAGTGAGGCACCAGGCAGACTTAATAATAACAGGGTTAACTTCAGATGAATTAGAACAGACGTATAAAAACACGAGTGCAAACAAGCCAAGATTTTAAAGGCTGGTGAAGTACACTGTGTTTTATTTGTGATTTAGTGATTCATGCAAACCTGCAGTGATGGAGGTGGGGAGAGTGAACAGTAACCTTATCATGCAGGAAACCAGCCAGACATGCTAAAAATGGAGAAATGACCGACAACCACTCCTTTTTCCTGATTTCCTGATTTTCTGATGATAGCTGTTGTTTTAAACCCTGTTTTAAATTTGTTGGGTTTTTTTTTAGTGGTGAAATGTGATGTCTGCCTTTAACCCTTTTTAAACTTTTTTTCTAGGGACCCGTCACAAACCTTCACGACCCAAGTCAGTAGACATTATTGGTAAACTCCTGGGAAACATGATGTGAGACGGCCGTGCCCAAAAAACTCTTGCGACCCACTATTTGGGAAACAATGCCTTAGTGGGCAGAGGGGCAGCTCAAGCTGTCAGTGGCAACTGGTGGCTGTTGGGATCTGAACCTGCAACCTTGCAGACATGACTGAGCTTTCTTAACCACTGACCTCTCAACAGCTGACAGCAGTAGTTGAAGTGCAGCTGGATACTTGTAGTACTCATTTGTCTCATTCTGTCTGTGTACAACTGCACTCATTTGTCTCCCTCAGCACAGAAATGCCACAGTCCTGACAACTTCCATGTCTCTTTCATTCACTCAGCCATCTGTCCCTGTCCAGCTCTGGCTGATGGAGAAGAAATCAGCCTGAGACACACACACTCTACGTATTCCCTCTGCAGATAATTGCAGCCGCACGATGGCTTTGGGGTGATGATGATGAGGCAACTGTTCGACCAAAACAAACATTGTATCACACGAGGCCTTGATGGACTCTTATCCTTGTGTGGAATCTCTCCATGAAAAGGTCAGATATTATCATGAGAGCAGCAGAAAGCCACGTTGACCTTTCGGGTGTTTGCAGCAGCTAAATATCAAAACAAAAATGTTAAGTGCAGCCTGAATGGTAAACTGACCACTTAGTGTGAATCAGCATGAGAGGAAATCATGGGGCTTTCACTCGTACAGACGGCAGAGTGTCACGATTATCACCACTGATGGTTGGCAGCAGCACAGGCACGGATGGTGTTATATTCAGTTGGCCACAAACAGGGCCAGTCTGTCTCCTTCATCACTTTTGTTGTTGAAATATCAGGGCTGGGAGGCTAAAAAAATCTCCTAAAACTAGATTCGTGCTGCTCTTCATTATCTTAGCATGAAAGTTAGCCAATGGTTTCTTTACCCTCCTCCAGCTGATCTAAAACTACCAAGTGCAGATGATTAGTCAATGAATTATACATCTTACCATGTGACCTTCATATAAAACAGTCATACAGAAGAACGTCAGCCGTCATATAATATTAAGAAGGACACAGAAACACCCATGTCATCTGTCTGTTATGGACAAAAACGTACAGATAAAGCTCTAAAGAAAAGGGCTGGTGTTTAAGGCACTAGGAATATATATGTATATATACACATACATATCTAAATATATATACATACATCCCCTCCTTGAACCGCAACCTTAACGTGGTGGAGGGGTTTGAGTATCCGAATGAATCTAGGAGCTATGTTGTCGGGGGCTTAACGCCTTCAGGTCAGGGACAGGTGCCTCACTGTTGTTTCGGCCTACGGGCCGAATAGCAGTGTAGAATACCCGGCCTTCTTGCAGACACTGGGAGGGGTACTCGACAGTGCTCCTCCCGGGGATTCCATCGTCCTGTTGGGGGACTTCAACGCCCACGTGGGCAACGACAGTGACACCTGGAGGGGCGTGATTGGGAAGAACGGCCTCCCCGCTCTAAATCCGAGTGGTGTTTTGTTATTGGACTTCTGTGCTAGTCACAGTTTGTCCATAACAAACACCATGTTCAAGCATAAAGGTGTCCACCAGTGCACTTGGCACCAGGACACCCTAGGCCGGAGGTCAATGATCGACTTTGTAGTTGTGTCTTCTGACAATCGGCCGTATGTATTGGACACTAGGGTGAAGAGAGGGGCTGAGCTGTCACCTGATTACCACCTGGTGGTGAGTTGGCTCCGCTTACGGTGGGCAAAGCTGGATAGACCTGGCAGACCCAAACGTATCGTGAGGGTCTGTTGGGAACGTCTGGCGGAATCCCGGTGAGGGGGGCCTTCAACTCCCACCTCCGGGAGAGTTTTGAACAGGTCCCGAGGGAGGCTGGAGACATCGAGTCTGATGTTCTCCAATTCCATTGTTGATGCGGCTGTCCGAAGATGCGGCCGTAAGGTCTCCGGTGCCTGTCGTGGCGGCAATCCCCGAACCCAGTGGTGGACACCGGAGATAAGGGAAGTTGTCAAGCTTAAGTAGGAGGCCTACCGAGCCTGGTTGGTTCGAGGGACTCCTGAGGCAGCTGACGGGTACAGGCAGGCCAAGTGGACTGCGGCTCGGGTGGTCGCGGAAGCAAATACTTGGGTCTGGGAAAAGTTCAGGGAGGCCATGGAGGAGGACTACCGGTCAGCCTCGAAAAAATTCTGGCAAACCATCCGCGCCTCAGGAAGGGGAAACAGTTTCCCACCACCGGGGGGGTGTTGAGCTCGACTGAAGATGTTGTCGGGAGGTGGAAGGAATATTTCGAGGATCTCCTCAATCCCGCTGACACGCCTTCCATGGAGGGAGCTGAGGCTGAGGACTCAGCAGCTGATCCTCCCATCTCCTGCGCT